TTTTTTTTTTTTTTTTACATAGTTTGTGTCCTTTCAAACAGAAGCAGTGGATGGGAGGTGTGGACTCTGTTCACTGAGCACGTCCTTTGAACGCTATGAGGGAAAGTTTAGAGAAGGAATTTGATTTCATGGCCGGAGCACAATGGTCCAAAGCTTGGGCTGTAAAGGCGTGTCGTTTCACCCGCGACTGGTGACCCGCGACGGTGGTGCTTCCTGAGCCACCATGGCCCCTTCGAAGCTGTTGTCGTTAGATGCCATCAAGCCAGCTGCTCCAACGCAGCGATGCCTGTACCACGGAGTGAAGCCCCGCCCGGCCCCGGCCACAGCCTCAGGTCCGTGCTCGCCCCGAGCCCAGCTGCAGCCCCTGGTCAGCCCATCTCACCGGGGCCTTCCCCTTCGCGTGAAGCCTCCACTTGACCAAGCGTGACGTCCATCTCCAGGGAGCTGTCCCTTCTGACAACATGACCCTCTCGGAAGCCTGGCCGTTCTCACTTCTGAGGAGCGTTCCGGCTGTACCTCCCCAGGACAGACTGGCCGGTTCTTCGTCAGTGCACAGACCTGCAGCCTTCTTCCCCAGCACCGCAGCTCACACACCATCCACTCTTCTCCACCCCCCTTATTCACTGTCCGGCTCTCACATGCACGTGAGGCGACTCAACAGCCCACAGCTTGAGTCAGGCGCACCTTCTGAACACCCTGAAGAGGTGTTTGCAGCAGATCAGCCTGTCGCAATACGTCTCATTTCTTGACCATTTCTACACACAATTCTAAATCTGGGACTCTCTTGAATCTTCCCAGTTTTGACCATACTTCTTCCTACCTCCACCCATTTGCATGGGACCATCCCTTCACTCAGGGCACCTGGCCCCTTCGCACTTCATCTGACCCTCCGCTGTTTCAAGCCCTTCAAGGTCTTGCCACAGAACCCATTCTTGCTGGAAAAACCCATTCCCGACTCCCTCAGCCACCAGGGCCTGTATGCTGTGGCTTCTGAGCAGGGCCCTCCGGGTGGACTCGCGCCTCCGACCTTCTGGTGAGCAGATGAGGCGTCCGTGCCGCCCTGGGCAGCAGTCAGCTGCCTCAGGCACTACGCCACGGGAGCGCCTTATTCCTCCCACAGAGGGTTGGTGAAAAAGAGTCACTGAAAATACTGCGTGGCTAATGCAAAGTTCCATACAAGTTGCTTAGAAAAAAATTAAGTAAAATCTGGGATCTTCTCTGTTTCTCTCATCTAGGGAATCCTTTAGTTCTGAGAAACTCATGAATAGGGAACTTGGCTGACTGATGACGTGAGGCGATGGGCAGTATCGTGTACTTTAATTATGTACCTATCATGGAAAATGAGACAGAACCGAGGTCAGTCCTGTCCTCGTGTTGGGTGCGACAGAGTAATTTCGATTCCTACTGACCCCATGTGACAGTACAACTGCCCCTCGTGTTTCCGAGGCTGTATTTTTGCAGGAGTAGACGGCCAGGTCTTTTTTCCTCAGACCTGCTGGTTAAGTTCAAACCGCTAACCTTTGGTGAGTAACCGAATGCTTGACTATTATTAATGAGAGTAAACCCACCCTAAGTAAAGAGTTTGAACGGCCAACCTTTCCGTTAGGAGCCACATGCTTAGCTACTGTAAAGGAGAGTTAACCCTCGCCAAGCAAAGCGTCCACCCGTGTACGTATGTTCTACCTTCATCCTTCTCTGTGGGACGCCTTCCCAGTCCACAGATCGGAACCAACGATGCCGTTTCACATCATTTGCTCCATTCTGGAAAAAAAGAAAAGCATGTCATCAGTGTCAACAGATGGAACTGTGTCCCTCACAATATGAGCTGTAAATCCTAACCCCACAACAGCAGATGTGATCACACTTGGGGTATGGCTCTCTTTGTGATGTTCATTAGGTACTATCCACATAGGCTGTCTCTTAAGCCAATCACTTGTGACTTATAAGGAGAGTGGATGGGGCACAGAAACAAGGAATCAGAGATGGGGAAGGGAGATGGTGCGTGGAGATTGCCAAGGAGCCCAAGAACAGCAGGTGGGAGGGGACAAGGACTTCCCTCCCCCAGAGCCGAGAGAGCGAGCGAGCGAGTGAAAGAGAGACGTCCCCAAGAGACGGTGCCCTGAACCAGGCTGCTAGCCTCCTAACTGTGAGAAAGCAAACCCTATTCCTTCAAGTCCCCTGCTTATGGTATTTCTGTTACAGTGGCCCTAGGTAACTAAGATATTCAAAATGGATATCCAAATTCGGAGATGGCAGAGAAAAAACGCTCCAAAAAACCTCTTACATAATTTTCACACGGATTACAATAAAAAGCTAAAGAATGAAGAGGGTCTCTCAGATTATGTAGCATAGAAATAAAACCACCTGGCTTTATTTTGCTGACCGCGCCTGGCGTGGGAAGCACTAGTGAACCGTAAACTCGTTAATGTCTCAGCTGCTGCCCTTCTTTGTAAAAATAAATCCATTACGACGCTCACGGTTCTGGATCAGAGAAGCACCTCTGTATATCTACTCCACACCTCCATATAATGTCATTATTCAGTCATTCAATTTATGACGATAGGAAAAAAACCACTCTCCAACCATTTTGTGCTTTAATAATGTACATTAGGAAGCAATGAAGGTCAAGGAGCAAGGTGAGACCAATGCTGTCTGTGATGGTTAAAGTTACGTGTCAGCTTGACTGGTCCATGATTCTCGGTAATTTGGCAGTTCTGTGATGGTGTGATTTGGCAGTTCTGTCATGATGCGATTTGGCAGTTCTATAATGGTGTGATTTAAGAGTTCTGAATGTCGTAATTTGGCAGTTCTGTAATGATGTAATTTGGCTGTTATGTAATGATATAGCCATCTTCCATTTAGTGACCTGCTATGGTCACCCCAAATTTTCACGTTCTTTACCAAGCCTGATTTTCACATAGCGACCAGGTCACTAAGTGAGAATTGGGTGTACACAGTGAAACTGGTGAGTTGGAACTTGACAGGACTGGCTCGTTTTCCCAATTCTCTCAAGTTTTCTGCCTTTCACAGAGTACCTGCCTACTGCTATTAACACAAAATATCTGAGTTTTCCTTCTCTACAGGTCTCTGCCTCACACTGGTCAGGCTTTAAAAGGTTCTACGATATTCTGATATCTTCCATGACTGTTTGGGCGTCACTGCATTTGGTAGAATTCATGGGCATTTTCAAACCTATTTTCTCATTTCAGGACATCCACTGGCCTGGGACTGGCCCCGGAGAGTGTGGTCATTGGACACAACAGCTTCCAGGGGTTCATTAGGGGCCAGTCCTTGGATAACGCAATTAGTTAATGAACTCAGCTGCTAACCAAGAGGTTGGAGGTTCAAGTCCACGCAAAGGCATC